GACTGTAGCGGTATGAAACCAAAGTGAACGTTTTCCTGTTAACTCAGTTTATTTAATTGTAATAAACGGATTAAAATGATGCCGAATTAACTACAACATTATCCCGATTTGTTAGACGTGTGACATGATGCTTTTTTGAGGTCTGTCAGCAAGACAGCAGGAGAACAGCTTTAAAATGTTTGTTTTTGTGAATGGAGTTTGGATCAATCAGCTAACTTGAACACTTAAAATGACACCACCTGTGTGTGTGTGTGTGTGTGTGTATACATACGTACTCACCTTTTTGCACGTGCACCCAAACCCAAAGGTCGTATCATTTCAGTGGTATGAAATTTGTCTGGTGTGCAAACAGAAAACGGGTCCTTGTCGCCTTTCTCTGATGCTGCCGTGCCTTTGAAAGTGAATCCAAGGGTCAACAAGTCCTGCCTTTAAACGCCTCGCGTGTACATCTGTGTGATGCACTTGTGTCCTAACAGATTTTTCTCTTCTTCCTCTGAATGCAGCTTAGGGAGTACAAAGTCGTTGGGCGTCTGCTGCCCTCAGCGAAGAATCCCGCCCCTCCCCTCTACCGGATGAGGATCTTCGCCCCCAACCACGTCGTGGCCAAGTCCCGCTTCTGGTACTTCGTCTCCCAGCTGAGGAAGATGAAGAAGGCCTCTGGAGAGACCGTCTACTGCGGCCTGGTAGGTGTCTGAACCACACGATGCTCGACCGGATCATCTGGTCGGGATTATCTGACACGTGCACCCAAACCCAAAGGTCATATCATCTCAGTGGTATGAAATTTTGTCTGGTGTGCAAACAGAAATCTGATCCTTGTCGCCTTTCTGATGCTGCCGTGCCTCTGAAAGTGAATTCAAGGGTCCACAAATCATCACGTTTTAAATAATCAAAGAATAGAAAGACTCTAATTAATGTGGGTCTAAGTTGGGTCAGCTGAAAATAAACTCCTAAAATAACAAACTCAAAATAAATCGGTAATATCTCCTCAACCATTTGGCCTAGATGTCCATGTTTTGGCAAACTTTACTGTTTTCAATGTTGACTTTTATTGGGAGTTAATTTCAAAACACAATTTCTGTCCATACAACCACGTTCCAAATAACAGAACGGAGCAACAAACCCGGTTGTGACGACTCGGTACCGGGGGCGTAGACCTGTGTTCACCAGGTTGTTAAACGATCCGTTTTGAACGTCTTTTTCCTAATTTGGCACCCACTTCATCTGCGTCTGAGGGGGAAAGTCTACGTGCAATCAGTGCAAGAGAGAAAAGAGTTTTTCAGTTTAAAACACCGTTTGTGTCAAAGTTATTCCTGTTTATCACACATGTCAACACTTTTGTCATGTTTGAGTTAATTAGTCGGAGGGAGTTTTCTAACAGACTGAAGAACTGAAATAGTTTTTGGAAGACGTCTTAATCTGCTGTACTTCAGTTTGTGTGAAATGACCGACGTCCTGCTGTTTTTGTCTGACCCGTTCAGGTCCACGAGAAGACCCCCCTGAAGGTGAAGAACTTTGGTATCTGGCTGCGTTACGACTCTCGCAGCGGCACCCACAACATGTACAGAGAGTACAGAGACCTGACCACCTCCGGAGCCGTCACACAGTGCTGTGAGTACAAGTACACGTCTGATCTGTGCGAGACGTTTGGGGTTTCAGGGAGGATTTAGACTCAAAGTCCGCACACATTTGTAAATATCAGCTGATTTCTGGTTTTCAGGGTCCAAACTTTAAGAATCTGTGTAAACTTTGATTCTCCTTGTTCAGCATCTGTTTACCAGGTTTGTCTCGTCTGATCTTTTTCAATCACACTGACCTTCATACCGGCTGCCGCCACCGACTCCGGGACAGCACAGTAACGCGTCTACGCCAGTGTCGCCGGTACACAATATGGCGCGAGGCCACGTGGGCACACTTTGGCCTCCGTAAAACATGATGCAAAGCTGATTTAGCGTTTTAAAATGTGGCTTCATCAGCGAGCTGTGGCTTTCACTTGCTAGCTTGAACTGGCTTTGTCTGCTCAGTCACAGGGCGCATATCTATATTTTTCTCATATCTAAACAAAGTTGGCGACCTCGTCTCCCCTCCAGTGACGGACTACAGTATGTAGCTACTGCGTTTCATAGTAGTACGCAGTAGGAAACTGTGAAACGGATTTATTTTGCAGTATGCTCGGCGCAACAGGAAGAATATAAATGTAAGTTTCTAATTTAATCTTGAGGATAACGAGGCTGCAGCTGGCCTTGCAGTTACATCTACGAGTCCTCTGTAGCTTTGCAACTTTACATCTGGCTCCAACCAGTCGTCACTCGTAATGCCTCCGCCCAGCAGCCAATCAGAGGCAGAGTAGGGCGGGATTTTTTCCGGACGGTAAAAGATCGCCGAACGAGCTGTCTGTCGGAAAGCAAGCCTGACGTAAGACAGAAGTAAGCTGGCTTACAATGTTCGCTGTCCTGTCAGATACAGTAAGGGGCCCGTGTCCCCCAAACTGTTTTTTTTCTGACACCAGTGTATTTTTTTTTTAAATGGGAGCGCCGCGTTTTTACAAGCTAACGAAAACGCCAGCAGCGTGACGAGACGCTGGGCGTCCAATCACAGTAGAGGAGGGGCGGGACAAATACCACACCGCAGCAACAAATGTATCATAGCAACTAAAGCAGTCGGAAAAAAACGTCGCGCCTCAACGCCCGCTAGCGCTTCCTGCTGGGTGTCTTCAGAAGAGCAGCTGGCGTTTTCAGCTGGTAACAAACGCTCTGGTGGACACGGGGCCCTGATGCTGCGTTTATACCCCAGTTCTTAACCAGTAATGGTAGCTAAGCTAATCGCCAAGATCAAACGTGTCGGCATCTGTTTCATGTCCCCGTCACTTTTTGAAAGCGTTTGTTAAAAATAGCTTGTAGCAAGAAATGTTATGAATAACAAATTTGCTTTGAGAAATGTTTGTGCATTTAAATAAGAATAAACAAGCTTCTGATTTATAAAATGACCCCAAAACGTGCAGCAGCGACCAGTGACGGCTTCTTGTCTGTTTTCTCCATGACAACATGACAGAATAGGAGTTAAATCGTGGCTGCATGCGTGTGATACTGCAGGAGAAACTGCCTGAGAGCTGCTCTGACTTGGATGTTGTTGCCCTTCACATAAATAAAAACATTTCCACTATAAATTGATGTAGGAAAGGAAGAAATTTGTGCAGAAAATTCACCAGCCTGCAGGAAATGAAGCGTCTAATGCTCCTAATTTTCTGCGTGGGGGTCCTCCAGAGCCCCCTACTAAACATATTTCAGCATTGGTGATTTCTAGAAAATGGCGTCAACATATTGTCACACCTGGTTCTCGTGACACCAGTAACCAATAACATGACAGACCGCTCGTTTCCTCCTCACCTTTTGTTCCTCTGACCAGTTTGCATGCCGGTAATTATTTAAGACAAGAGATTTAATCAGCCCGCTCTGACAGCAGGCGTCTGTTCTGATCTGGAAGTACATTTCAGACCCTGACGGCTTCTTGGTTTAAAGCTTCAGGAGTGTTAAAGTTTCCCTTTGTGTCCGTCAGACCGTGATATGGGAGCTCGCCATCGCGCCCGCGCCCACTCCATCCAGATCATGAAGGTTCAGGTCATCGCTGCCAACAAGTGTCGCAGACCTGCCATCAAGCAGTTCCACGTGAGTCTCCGCTCTGTTTCTGTGTCCAGTTTAAAAACCTGCCGTCTGAAACTGAACCAATCTCCTCCTCCTGCAGGACTCCAAGATCAAGTTCCCTCTGCCCCACCGGGTCCTGCGTCGCCAGCACAAACCCCGCTTCACCACCAAGAGACCCAACACCTTCTACTAAAAGCGTTTTTTCACTTTGTGCGGGAAAAAATAAAAATGATCTAATAGAAAACGAGCCATCTGATTTTATATGTATTTGTCTGCACGCTGGAAACTTCTGTGATCAACCTGATCCCTCTGTGGTTTATTGAACATGAACATCCCTGCTGGATCATCTCTGGCTTTCTCTTGTTGCAGTAGCCAAATGCTCGTTACAAACAGACGACTTCTTCTCTCACTGTGTGTTTCAATTTAAATTTATTAGTGGATAGACCTGTGAGACGCAGCATCTCGTTTTCAAGAGGGTCCAAAGACATGCATGCATTATACAACAGGAGAAAAGAATAAATATGGCATACGTAGTGCAGAAAATACAAAAAACACAGAACAAATACTCTAAACAACCGAGTTAGTAAACAGCTTACACCCTCAGCCCAGACTGATGCCACTGGAAACAGAATATTAAACATTTCCAGTGAACTTTCAGCAAAAGACACGTCATGGTTCAGACACGCTACAGTAAGTACATCTCAGTTACCTCATTACACAATCTGGACCCGTAAAACACTTGAGATTCAGTGCAAAGAAGAAATAAGAAAGATGGAAGTCAAATCCACAGGAGGGAAATCAATTAGATGATTACATGAGTCAAATTACAAGCAATACTGCTGAGTCCAGCATCAGTATCATGCACACACGTTTTGAAGATGTAGATCAGGGGTCGGCGAGCCGCATGTGGCTCTTTCATCCTTCTACTGCGGCGCCGAGTGGCTTGGGAAAATAAATTACTAAAAAGAAATTGAAGAGTATTTTATTTGTGTTAGTTCTTTTTTCGCCTTTGGAGTCCTGTCCGTCTTCAGATCCACATATGCATGTGAGCAGCTATTCTTTATCATGAACTACATTAAAAACAAACAGACGACGGCTTACAGTCCTGCGTAAAGATGAAAGTCACTTCGTACAGCCCCGATTTGCAGACGCTGTGCGCGGAGGTTCAGGAGCAGAAGTCCCATTAACCAGGTAAAATAAATATTTATGCAGATATTTGTTTTTCATTGTTTAGTGACACAGTGCTTTTTTTTAAAATTCAGGTCAAGGCTCCGCTACATGCTCTGAAAGCCCAGAGGCGATACTATAAGGATGACGGCTCACGGCATTTTCTGCTTTTGTTTGCTACATGGATATTTTAAGTTCAGCTTTTTAATTTATTTGAAAGAGACATTCAGAAATTATTTTTTCAAGAATTCAAAATGTTCAAAGCACTAATAAGTGCATGGCTGGGGTGAACCCCGAAGCATGAAAGGGAGGTGGTTGTTGTTGTTTTTTTAATAAATGTGGGTTTTTTTCATTTTAGATGTCAGTATTTGCTTTTTCTTTTCCGTGGAAACCAAATCAAATGGCTCTTTCGGTGTTAAAGGTTGCCGACCCCTGATGCAGATGAACTAAATCTGCAAAAAGACGAGATGGATCTCAAGGAAAGAGGGAGATTGTTTGTACAACTACAAGGAACCAAGAGTTCTAAGCTGAAGCCAGTTTAGTGGTTCATAATTACACAATGATGAGTTTTAAATCTACGCAGACTTATGAAGTGGCTATTTTTCACGCCCGACCAGTTTGCGTGTCTGAATGTTGCTTCAAACTGAAGTTTAAAGCGTCTTTCCCACCAGCTGAGGCCAAACAGCAGCGTCATCTGGTGAAACTGCGAGTTTACGCAACAGTTCGAACCAACACATGTGAGGGGTCATGACCTTTGACCCCGCTGGAGAGCTGCAGGCCTGACATCTGATGCTGTTGCAGCCTCCGTCCACACGGTGGCGGTGTTCACCAAGACATGAAGGTGAAGCAGCTGATGAAGGAAAGTCCTCACAGGTGTATTTATCTTCCACTATCGTAGAATGAGCTTTGAAAGATGTTTTTAATGATGAATTTAATATCTAACTTATTCACCTGTTTGACATTAAGAGTCTAAATTAACTTCCAGCAAAGCAAAGGGATCATATTCTGTCTTTCATGTAGTCATTGTGCTGTAGAGTTAAAGATACTGAATCTGAACTTTATTTTTTATTTACTCAGATGAGTCAGATTATTATTTTGTGGGGGGGTTTACTGTGAAAATATATTAAATGGCCAAACATTTACTGAACGGTTTATCAAAGGATGTCTGTGAAGGTTTTCAGTCGTCCAGGTCATAGTTATCCAACGAAGGTTAAAGTCAAGGGCAGCTGGACGTCTTCAGTTCTGACTGACTGGCAGGGAAACTCAGCTATTTAACCTCAGCGGGGTCGTTTGCCAGGATCGACGATACCGCCTCTGTGGTGGGGATGCAGGTGAACAAAGAAGTCACGTCATAGGACACCATGGTTTCATCTGGGTCCAGTTTTAGTCCTCGAACTTTGTTTACAAAGTCAACAGAGTTTTGGACGTGGTGAGGAGCTAAGATGGTAGAAATGTGTTTGGCATGTTGTAGGTGACCGAGTTAATGCTGCTGATAATCGGCCGCAGTCGGGCTCCTTCTTTGGCTTCTCCAGGACACAAATATTGTTCCCGGGTGATGGTGTTGTCCTTCTGTCGCTGTTGTAGATATTCTTTGGCCTTTTTCTTGTATGCGCTGGTTGGGTCTCGTCTCAGTGTCTCAGTTTAGTAGTGTGTTGACCTTGTTCTGGTAGTCCGCTGTGTATCAAAGGATTTATTCAAAATAACCATGTGATATGTGTAATGGGCCCTTTGTCCCCACAAATTTACAAATAAAATGTCACAAAAATATTTAATAGATTTTTAATTAATATAATTTTATAAGATATTTTTAAAAACCCTCGGAAAATTTCTCACTATAAGACCTAAGAATCAGTGTGTTATTTCATATATAATAACTTTTTTTTTTTTAATGGCACACTGACCACCAAACAAAAAAAATGTTCCCGGTGTTCATTTCAGAAATCAGATTTTTGAAATGAAAACATTTTATGTCATTAAAAAATGTAATGTTGTTATATATGAAACAAAAAAGGGGGACAATTTCAATTTTATAATCTGTCAAATATAACTCTTTTCAGTCTTTCAGTCCATAGATGATGCAATCAGTTTCTGGCAAGCAGACAAATGGATTTTATGTGTTGGCTTCTATTATTGAGTTTAATCACGTAAACGTCAGGACTGATTACGCCATAAACTGCAAACTCTTTATGTGATTATCCACAAAAGTTTCACAAAGGCAAACCTTTGCTGTTACCACGGACATAAAGTGATGTTTAATAAGACGTTATGTCTGTTTGATCCTGATAAAAGCAGCTGCAGTCGTAAAGATACAGGGCGATAATGTTAAATGCTGCGCGCGACACCTGTCCGCTCTGCTGTCCAATTATTTCTGGCCACGTAAAATCTGATTTCAGGTCTGTTAACATCTTAAACAGTCTATGATTAACACACAGTTAAAAACGGGGACATTTCCAGGGGACCGGGCCACCAAAACCGGGTCTGTCCCCGGAAAACGGGGACGTCTGGTCACCATGTCATCAGTTCCTCAAGGAGTGATCAAAACAAACCACGTTGCGTCCAGACGACACCTGAGAGTCTTTTTTTAGGCAGATTTCAGTGTTGAACTGCACAAACCTGCATTAGAGGTGGGTTATAAATGAACACAGTGATGAGGGGACTCTGCCAAAGTGGGGTTTTATCTGCAGCTTTAGTCAGAAAGTGGAAGCTCGTTATGATACGCCGTCTGGCTCGTTATCAGGCGGCATGCTGGGAGCCGGCTGCTGTTACAGTAGAGGAGCTGGAGGTGCTGTGGAGTTTGATGGGAGTTAACTGGGTGTGTATGAAGGAGTGGGAGCAGTGGGTGGCTGCAGAGCAGACCTCACTCAGTGATGGAAAACATTCTTTTCAATGAGTCACAGTCATAAACATGTAAAATCATTTCAAATACATGAAGAGAAGAAGTCAGCGCTGACTTCACCCGGCGGTATGTGGAACTCGCTCCAAAGCAAACAGCAGAAAAATGGGACTGAAACCGGTGATTCTGATGGTTAATTAAATTCTAATATACAGCCGCATGTTTATGAGCCGGATCCAACTATTAGTGCTTAGCAGCAACATTTTCCATTATTTGTGAGCAGCTCTTTAAAGGGCACTTCTGACAGGAAGCAGGTTACAGCCTCAGAAATCAATTCCACACAAAGACGCTCAGTATAGTACTGCAGTACTTTTTTTTTATTGTGGGAATTAAAAGACTGTTTAGAAATACGTTCTCAGGGTTTTCTGACTCCACAGAAAGCTAAGCCTTGTTCCCAGCGGAGCTCATTGTGAGCGCCGTATCGCCAAGAAGTCAGAGGCCGTTAAGTGTAACTGGCTGCACCTCCTGCCCGACGTAAATGTTTGAAATACTGTAGACTTCCCCCTGTAGGTGAAACGTGAAGCACGGGCCTGCTAACGGCGCTCACGCACACAGAGCTGCTCAGAAAGTGTTTTAAAGAGGTGTTTGAAACCAGCTTGGTGCAGCTCCTGGTGTGAAAGATTTCATCACTTTCTGAATGGAGTTTGGTGCCAGATTGTTCACTTCATCCGTTGTCATCAACTATGTTTTTCTGTATTTGTTTGTGTATTTGCTTTTTTTCCACTCTAAATACTGCGCATGGTGTTCTCAAATCTGTGAAGATGTTTTCTTAAAGGCTCGTGCAGACTAACCACGTCCAAACCACGTTTTGTCAAGAAAACACAAGCGAAATGACGCAAACCTGCTCGTGAAACAGCTGTTTGTTATAATAAAGACAAAGAATCAGGGTGAAAGGATGGATCAGCACACGCAGGCAGCAGGGATCGTCTGAGCTGCAGAGAGCTGAGGGGAGTAAGAAGCAGCCGCCTGCTCTCATTGGCTGAATGTGGATGTCGAGTCGGCCGACTCCTCCAGATATTTGGCGTGCTAGATATCTGGCAGGAGTCGGCGATGTGTCAGAAATGTGTCGGGAAGCCGTTTTGATGCATCGTTGAGTAGTTCACACATAACGACTGGCGACCGCCGATCGATCGCAGATTTACCCCACGATCACAGCCCGACGGTCACCGAGCTCGCCGACCGGCAAA